CCCCAAAACCCCAAAACCCCAAAACCCCATTATCTTACATTTTTGATTATATAAGCAAATATTTGTTTGTGAATTTAATTAAAAAGGAAAGGAAGATTTATTCAGAGATTTGGGAAGCCACTGTATTAATTTTGATATTGCTGGTTCCACTGCTGATTGTTTTGACTTTGTCCTTGTATTTATTGATTACTGTTTTATGAGTAATATTGCTGCTGATTCTAACTTTGATTGTTATAGTTATAATACTCAGAGTAATTTTGATATACTCCTCTGTATTCAGGGTCCTTCATATCAAACTCGTTATATGAGTTAATCTAACAAAGATTAAGCAGAGAAAATTACATTAAGAACTGGAATTTCAACATTTATTGAGACATCGAATGTTTGTTCTTTGTTTGCTCTCATCTTTAAGTACCCATTAACTAACTATCCTTTATTCACACCAAGAGGTTCTCTTAAAAGTAGTCTAGTCTGATACCAATGAGTAGCTTAAGTGAAAGGGCCAGTTTGTAGAGTCACATATTGTTAAGATCCCTTGAAAATTGCATCAAAATAGAGAGCATATCCATGAATCAGGCCTGTTTTCTCCATTCTATGCTTGAAGAAGAAGTCTATCTCCTAATGAATTAGAGATTTAATTTTACTTAGAGTTCTTTTAAAGTACAGCTCTCAAAGTCAAATATTAATCTATCTGGGTTGGTGCAAAGACTATTTAGTTTAAAATGATTAATTTACTTCTTATTTGGGTCGTAAGTGTCGATCAAAGGCTGAGAGAATTTTTCCTAAACAGCTTTTTCTTTTAAACATGTTAGATCAAGTCCATAAAAATTTTTATTGTCCCAAAATGTGCATTTATTTTGTTACTCTAAATGAATTGACTCATCATAGAAAGGCATTATGCAAAAGTGAGCAGTGGAAGGGAACATCTTGCCTCCTGCTATCAAAAACTTTTCTCTAGCAATAACATAAGTTTCAAGCATTCTCTCATTAAGTAAAAAGGTCCCTAGAGGTTCACTGACTATGATATCAACTTCTTTACCTATCATATCTTCTGTGATATCTTCAATCTTTGACTAAATAACTTCGATAATCTATGAAAATCCGTTTGCATCGATAAGCTTTCTTGCACTTTCAGCCATATTTGAGGCTTCAATAGCATAAACTTTTCTTGCACCAGCCTAAGCAGCAAATAATGAGAGAATACCTGAGCCACAGCCTACATCCATAACTATCTTATCTTAAAAATCTGCTCTATTATTTAAGATAGCATTTCTGTAGTGACTAGTTCTCACTTCGTCCATTAACATATTTTACTGGTTCTAAAGTTTAGAGTAAAACTTGAAGTATTAAGTAACGCTCGCTTATTCATTTGTGTGAATGCCACCCTCAGGTTCGTTTTAATGCTCTTAATTGTGAAGCTCTTAGAATTCTCTGATTGATGATTCCATTAAAGATAAATAAATAGTATTACTAAGCTTTATTAAATTACTATTTAAAGCTATTATTTTGCAAATTGGGGTTTTGGGGTTTTGGGGTTTTGGGG